TTTGGTTAGGTCTAATCTTATAACACGAGCGACTTGCTAGAAAACTTTCCGATCTTAATCAACCCTATGAGCACAACCTAATATCTCTCTCGCAAACGCCACTTCAAATGGGCAAAATCAGCAACGGTCTCGCATCCATCTCTAACTTTCTTCGGACAAGCCTTAATAATACTTAAGGGATATCAATCAATATCAAATCGGGACCCGTTAACGGGAACCTCCGGATCACCGGTTAAGTATACTTCATTCGAAACAATCCAAAATTTGTCAAGACACCGATCATGCACGGCGCGAAGGTACTCTAGACATCGGAGATTGCAAAAAGTTCTCTCCATCATCGACATGTTTAATAACCGGCCTCGAACCACTCGGCAATTAAAAACGCTCATATAAAAACTCACCTCGATAGGCCCATCCCTCCATCACATGCATCAAGCGAGAGCAATGAGTCAGTCTTGTGACACCCCTTACCCTATTAACAAAACCAATCTATCTGAAGCAGCCCTACGAGGTCCCAGTCTGGATGCTACACGAATTCCCAACCATAAACACAATCCCAGGAGAAGAATATGAAGAAGAAGAAGGAGAAGAAGAAAGAAGAAAGGGTGGAGAGGATTTAGCTGGCAATCTTTACACTTGAAAATTGGGGTGTCCATGAATGACCCATCTCCCTCTCTCCCCCAAACCCCCGATTTGATACCCCCCAATCACAGACACACCCACACTTCACTTGCACACTCTCTTTACCAGTCCAACCTTCAACAAACATTTATTTAATTTTCCCCCGCTCCAAAAAAAATATCCAAAAAATTATAAAATTGAAAAATTGAAAAAACTAAGAGGTAGAGAGAGAGAGAGAGAGAGAGAGAGAGAGAGAGGGAATATTTTATTTTCTAGATCTTCGCTCCCCGCTTCTCTCAATTCCGATGCCCCAACATGCACAAGCCAAAATTAAATACTCTTTAGCGAAAAAAGATTTTTTTTAAAAAAAATGAACAGAATAATTGCACAGAAAAACTCGGAATATTAAAAAAAAGAAAAAAAAAAGGGGGGGGGGAGGGGGACAGCGCCAGGGGGACAGTCACGGCTCCCCACAGCCACGTGTCGGGAGACGAGTGGGCAGGAGGGGTCGGGGCGAGGAGGAGGGGGCCGGGGGGAAAAGCGGTCAAAGCGAAGACCGGATAAGCCCCACCACCACCACCCGAGGCGTACAGTCAAAGCAAACCCCCAAAAAAAAATAAAATAAAAAAACCGGAACCCCAACCTGTCTGTCACGGTCAAAGCTTTGCTTCGCTGGCACTTTTTAGCCCTCTGCGAGAAATTATAATCACCCCCCCCCCGGAATTTTTTTTAAATGAATAGAAAATAAAAATGAACCAAATAAAGCGGGGAAAAAAAAAGCCCGTGGGCCCCCACGTGCGGGACGGGGGGTAGGAGCGACGACCAATAACGATTTGATTTACGTGGTAATACCACGAAAAACCTCGAATCGAAATAATTACGATAAATTTAGCCTGAATTAATTTTTTAAGTACCAAAAATTTCAAACTGGTACATCCGTGATAGATTTATCCTCCGTTAGTTTATATTAAATTTTGCTGCCGAATTGCTTAGTTAAATGACACGTGGCAGTTGACGGATGTACCAGTTTAGGGTTTTACTCTTTGTTCATCCCAAGTGTACTAGTTTGTGATTTTTTTTATATTAATTCAATTTAATAGAAGCTAAATTTGTCACATGTGTACTAGTTTCGAGATTTTTTATGGTCAAAATTTTAATTTTAGGTAAATTTATCACAAGTGCATCAGTTTAAGGTTTTTGTTGATCAAAAAATTAGTTTTAGGTAAATTCGTCACAGATGTACTGGTTTTGGGGTCTTTTGTGGTCAAAAAATTAATTTGAGTTAAATTTGTCACAAGTGTATCGGTTTAAGATTTTTAGTGATCAAAAAAATTAGTTTTAGATAAATTTATCACAAGTGTATCAGTTTAGGGTTTTTCTTGATACTAACTCGTTATTTATTTATTATTCCTCGATTAATCCGAGAACGGGATAAAAATAACATAAACAGGTAAGGGGGGGCTCTCGGAATTTGAAATACCGAATCGATTAATAAATTAATTAGGGCAATTACAATTAACATCGATCTTAACAACGAGGAGCCAAAAAAATTTAATTTAATTTTTTTTTCCCCGGCCCCTCGTCCCCGTGGGGGTCTCGCGATGGACTCTAGCAAAACTTGGACCGTCCTTTTCTGCAAATTTCCCCCTTTTTTTTTCCCTCCCCTTTTTCGCTTCGTGCGGGTATAATAATAAGCCCCTCTTATTTTTTTTTATGCCCCCCCCCCCCCCCCCGACTTTTTAAAAATTGCAGTTCCATCAAAAGACGAGTTTGTCCCCCCCCCCCTCTTTCTCTCTCTCTGTGTCTCTTATATCTTTTTCGTTAGGCGTTAAGGCTGTTTAGGGTTTCCTTTGCTTTGACCGAGATTTGGTTTGAATACAAGTCGGGACTTTATGAGCAGGTGGTGGGGCTGTGCGTTTGAACGCTCTTTTTTTGGGGGCGTTTTTGATAATCTCGGGCGAAGGCACGAATATCCGGTTACTTGAAAATCCATGGAAGATCCGATAAAACTCCATAAGCCGGTGAGGCTCGAGCTTTTGATCCGGACAAGTGGCCCCGATCCCGTATAACCTTTTTGTGATTGGCGGGGGGGTTTTGAAATTGTGAGAATCTTTAATTGTTTATAGTCGTCTATTTTCATGGGAAAACATTTTAAGGGAAAATATTTTAAGTGTCATTGGCTGTAGACACCCGTTTGACTATGAAATAAGTAAAATTTGTATGCCCTAATAATACCTTTGAAATCGAATTGTTCGATGAGTTTCGAATGCGTCGTATATGCACTTATTGATATGACCTTTTGTATATAGTTCGGGGCATCGGAGTAATCATGCATTGTTTCAATGCTCATGCGCTCATGTGAAGCAAAATGCTCGGATTATATCTCACATCATTTTTATTGCTCGCAAGAAGAAATTGGTGATACATTTGTTTAGAGAGGGTTTTTTTTGGGCCAAATTTTTAGAGAGGCATATGCAATATTGTTGAACTTCAAATTACCTTCGCTTTTAAAGAAAAATAACCATAGTCTTCAATTGCCATTTTTTTTTCTATAATTTAGGGCTAGCAATTCGTGTTAGCGTGTTATAATCGGATGATTAATTCATGTTAGTCTAAAACATTTTGATTTTGATTCTACATGGAAAATAGTTTAATTATAATGAAGACGAGTTAATTCATGTCAATTCGTGTCAAAATATAAAGCCAGTGTTGTGTCGTGTCATATTCGGACTTTCTCTTTGCAATTCATGTTTTACCTCGCGTCGTGTTCACAATCATGCTGAATGGGTCGTGTTCGGCATTGCCAACCCTACAGTCGCTCTCTCTAATACATCTTTTACCTCCTTTCCCCTCTCTTATGGGAATTTGTCAAAATTATGTCTGTTGATCTTATATGTTAATCATATGTCTTTCAAGTAATTTATCTATATTCTACATACTTTTCAAGTTATGAAAATTAGCTTATGGGCTAGATCGACGTGTAAGTTTCCAATTGAAAAATAAGGTGTGGCGAAAAGGTACTAAATAATTTTTCCCTGAGAAGATAACGAAAAAATAGGACAATGTTTTCAAATAAGTAATTCGCTCTCGTAAAGTATAAAGTATTTTTGAAGAAAACAAATTACAATATGAAAAAAATTTCTTCACTTGTATAATTCTGTCCTCCTCTCTATTGGTTTACCAAAAAAAAAAATTTTAGGACTTTTTAATTATTGAATTTTTTTTATTAAAACAACTATATATGCCATTATTTTGGTTGTGCATGGCATGGGTTGAGACCAGTATAAATGAATTTCGAACGAGCAAGACAGAATTCATAAAATGAAGAGCGGCGATTCTTACTAAATTTGAATTATGTAAATCGACAAGCCTTACCGACGATGCTCTGTTTATTTTTTCGCCGACAGTTGTGCAGAAAACAAAATGTACACTCGTTAAGTAACCGAATAAAGAAATGCCGTAGTTGTTAACATACTTACTCCCTTTTTTCCCCAAATACGTATGCTCCATACTTCACAAAAAGAAAAAAAACGAATCGTTTTCATGCTTAACACATTTAACGAGTATCGCGAAAGCGCTTATCGTGAAGCGGCGATCATAAACCAAATGATTAAACGGCGAAAGCCATCGAACTCATTAAATTTTTATGTTCAATGTTTCTGGCCATCTAACTCGATTGATTCCGGCCGACTGATGACCACATGATGCCCTCTCTTTTCCCTTCTTTGGGCACCAACCCAACCCCAATCGAGACGCCCTTCTTTTTAATATATATGCTTTCTCTTCCGTTTTTTCAAGTGGTGAGATCCAAGGGCACGCTCGGCAGTCAAAAGTGGGGAATTGAGGGGGGGGGGGGGGGGTCATAAGCAAAAAAGATCCAAAGCGTTTGGTCCAAGCTCCGCTTTGTTTAAACACGCAATAATTAAGGCCTTAATTTAATCATGAATGGAGGGGGGAGGGGGGGCGGGGGGGGAGGGTTAGGGGTTAATAAAAGTAAGTAACCAATGATCTTGGTAAACAGTGAAAGCGAGGGGTGGGGGAGATTACGGCAAACAGGTGACATGACTGCACGTGTGGTTCGCGGTCCGAGGGGGGGCTCGGTGACCGGCTGCAGCCCGTGGTTCCCGGTCACCCGAAGAACAAAAAGAAAAAAAGGGGGGGGGGATAGATATTTTTTCTTCTTTTTTTTCCCATTTTCTTTCCATTTTCTCTCTTGGCTTGGCTTCCTCTGTTTCCGTGATGAAATTAAAATGATTTAAAAGCGAGGGAGGGGGGGTGGAAATTTCATTTTTGCTGTGTTGGTAAAACAGAGGACTGAGGCTGACCCCCAAAAGGAAGGGCAGTGTTGTAGAGAGAGAGAGAGAGAGAGAGACTGAGAGAGGGAGGGATGGCTTTTCTTCTTTCCTCCTCCTCCTCTTCCTTGGCCCTTTCTCTCTCCTGGGTGGGTGTGGTGTTTCCTTGATTTACCCTCCCCCCGCTTTGGCTCTTCCCAATTCTCCGCGGCATCCACTTGTTTCTAATCTTGGGTCTCTGTTTTCTTGGTCAATTATTGAGGGAGGGCTAATCGCTAGATTCTTGAGGATCTTGTTGGGGGGAGTTGGTCTTGAGGGGGCCTCTGCTGCTTCTTTCTTCTCCATCTTCATCTTCCTTGCTTTGCCGCTGTGGTCTTGGGTTTGATGATTTGACCCTTTTGAAGCTTGTGGTGGAAGTGAAAGGGAATTGATTGCTTGTTGTTTTTTTTTTTTTTTCCTTTTGATGCGTATTATGATGGTAATGAGTCTTTTGACCGCAGAAAGAGAGGTGAGCAGATAAAGCGGTTGGAAAAAAAAGCAAGTGCAGAGGGTGTAGACAACGAAGAGAGTATTTTCTTTTCCCCTTCCTTTTGGTTGTTGCTTGTGGTAGTCAATGAGTGAGAGAGACTCGGGGGCTTCCATTTGCTCTCTTCGCCTCTCTGCATATCTGATTTGGGAGCTGGATGCAATGTGCCCACAGGGGTGCTTGTGGTTGCTGTGATTCTGAAGGGGCTTTGTTGGGTTTCTTGTTCTTGGTTGGGTTTTCCTTTGAGAGGGTTTCCGAAATGCCTATGTTTCAGCCCTCGAAACGAGAGGGGCTTGCTGGATATGAAGATGGGCAAGTTCTAGATCTAGATACTGCGGTCAAAGATGGGGTTTTGGGTGGTTTGGGCAGCGGCGGAGTCCCCGGGGGCGGAGTCGGGGAGAAACTGGATCTGAAGAAAATGATCGAGGAGCTCGATTTGTCTGAAGTCCCTTCTGTGTTCATTTGCCCGATTTCGCTTGAGCCGATGCAAGACCCTGTGACCCTGTGCACTGGCCAAACCTATGAGAGGTCCAATATCCTCAAATGGTTCAGCTTGGGGCACCTCACTTGCCCCACCACAATGCAAGAGCTGTGGGACGATTCTGTCACTCCGAATAAGACCCTTTACCATCTGATACACACCTGGTTTTCCCATAAGTACTTGCTCATGAAAAAGAGATCCGAGGATGTGCAGGGTCGTGCGTCGGAGCTAGTCGAGACCTTGAAGAAGGTGAAGGGTCAAGTCAGGGTCCAGGCCCTGAAGGAGCTCAGACAAGTGGTGGCATCTCATGCCACGGCCAGGAAAGCCGTCGTGGACGGAGGTGGGGTGGCAGTGGTCTCCGGCCTTTTGGGTCGGTTCACTTCCCACGCGGTGGGGTCCGAAGCAATTGCGATTCTTGTCAACTTGTCTCTTGATTCGGAATCGAGAACGAATCTGATGCAGCCTGCGAAGATCTCATTAGTGGTGGACATGCTAAATGAGGGGTCGATGGAGACGAAGATCAACTGTACCCGATTGATCGAAACGCTTATGGAGGAGAAGGATTTTCGATCAGAAATTGTCTCGAGCCATAGTTTGTTGGTGGGCTTGATGAGACTGGTGAAGGATAAGAGACATTCCAATGGAACTTTACCTGGGCTTAGACTCCTCAGGACCATATGCTTGCACAAGCAAGTGCGGAGCTTGTTTGTGAGTGTTGGGGCTGTGCCCCAATTGGTCGATTTGCTGCCCAATTTGGATTCCGATTGCTTGGAATTAGCTCTGTTCATATTGGAAACACTGTCCTCATTGCCTGAAGGACAATTGGCTCTGAAGGATTGCCGAAGCACGATCCCAAGTATGGTCAGGTTGCTAATGAGAGTCTCCGAGACGTGTACGCAGTATGCATTGGCGATCTTGTGGGCTGTATGCAGCCTTGCTCCCCAAGAATGCTCGTCCGTTGCTGTTGATGCGGGCCTTGCTGCAAAGCTCCTCCTCGTAATCCAGAGCGGGTGCGATCCTGTCTTAAAGCAACGGTCATCGGAACTGTTGAAGCTCTGTAGTCTGAATTATTCGGACACAATCTTCATTTCCAAGTGTAAGCTCACGAGAACAATTCAGTAACCGGAAGATTGGGAGAAAATTGTTTCCTGATGCGGTCGACACGATGAGATTTTCAGGGGCGAGAGGTGTAAAGGGTTGGACACGTTCCATCGAGCGACTTTCGAGGTAATTGAGGTTTATTCGGACGGGGAACGAAATGTGAACATCGCCTGTAAATATCCGGGTATCATCTATACCCACAGTTTGATTCGATGGATGTTGAAGGTTCATAAAAATTCGAAGATCGCGCACCATTGTTTCTTAATAAACCCCAGTTGTGAAGAGTAGCGGATCCGTGCTCTGGGATGTAACTAATATCAGGGGGGGATCATCTGTGAGAAAATATGCTGCTTTATTTTTGGAAGGAAGAAATTGCTTGTTCTGAAGGATTAGATAGTGCTTTCGTTGGTTGGCTGATTGGGAGAGCTTGGATTTGCGAATGTAAAACATTGTCAAGTGGCTGCCCCTCGCATCTTCAGCTTCCCTCCTATCTTGTATCTTTTTTTTGTCCTAAGATGTTCATGATGTCTCCATTTTTCTTTGGGAGGTTTTTTTGGCTTTCGACCTTTCACAAGTGTAGAGAGACAGGAGTTTGCCAATGGCTTCCTCCAGCTCCCCAATATCCCTATTCAATGTGTATAATGAAATTGACCATTCAAATTCCCGCATCTTCTCCTATCTGCACTTTTCTCAGTTTATAGAGCTGTTCCGTGTTGGTTTTTGCTGATGAAAGGGTTTTTGGTTCGTGGGTGTTTGACAAATGACATGTTTCTCTGCCTACAAATGTTTGGGACACGAAGGGATACGAAGGTTCCTTCGACTGGCTCATATGTCTTGTGTGCTAGTTTCACGAGTTAGCAGTTCCTTGGCCGCGAAACGGCGCTGCGCGTGCAGCGCCTGGTGGGTCGTTCACACTAGGCCAGTCCTCGTTCTGTAGTTGTTCCAAAGAACCGTATAGCGAATAGCTTTCTTGTATTGGATCGTAATATGCTCAGCTTAACTCAGGCATCTAGTCCATCGAGCGATACACGGTTTAATTTAAGCACGACAATTGATTTCGGCCCGTCGTGGTTTCATTAGGAGAGCGACATCAATTCTCAACCAGCTTGTCAACCCGCTTTAGATCTCTCAAGGATATATTCATTCCATCGTAGATTTCCTAACACCAACCGTCCTCTCACGAATTAGTTTGTATTTTGGCCTTCTACATCAGTCACTCTTAACCAGCTCACAAGAATACGTGAGACACTTGCACGGGTGAGTTCTTGTACGCGTGCATTCGATTGGTGTGTGTGTACTTTTGGCGAGTTCCAGGACGGAGTTTCACTGTATCTTGGCGGGCACTGTTTGGGGGAGAGGGGAGTGTAGTGGGGATGACTATTTGAGATGGAGACGTTGGTCATGGTTGCGTACTTTTCGTAGTGAGTTCAGTCTTTTGAGGGCAGATTTTTGAGGACAGGATCCGTCCTTGTCTCTCTCACCCTATCGCTAAAGGAAGGATTTTGATGTTCTTTCTTTGAAAGTAATTGTCACCCCCGTTGCCAAAAAAAAAAAAACAAGAGTGAAAAAGAGAGAGTAGAAAAGAGAGAAAGGGAGAATATAATGAATTTCCTCGCGCGATGTTGCTTCCGTTGCCTCTGTTTTTGGAAATTATCATTTGGTTAACCTCTAATCAGAATCGCGCGATGATGAAAAGTCTAAATTACCCTCCCTCCCTTCACGAACCAGCCATCAGTCGCGGGCCTCCATTGCTGCCCACCACCACCACCACCACCCACGACCGCCGTGGCTTCTAGATTGATGCCACAAAGGGCGGTCGCAAAGCTTGTCGTCCCTATACCCACATCAGAACAATTATGCATTTTTGTTAATGATTGAACTTATGAAGTTAATTCTTCAATTGCGGTGTTGTGTCTCCAACTGTTTGTTTGTCTGATGGCAAAAGTACCAGAAAAATCATATATTTATTACATTAGTACCAATTTAGACATAAATCTTTCAATTGGATCAATTTAGTCATAAACTTATTTACATTGATACCAATTCAGTACACCCAGCCAATTTAGGTCGGAAGTCGCTGACGTGGAGGTCAACTGTCCTACGTGGCACGACTGACACTAGGACGGTCAGCTCTGACGATAGGCGAGGGCTGCATTGCCCAAAGTCGGTGGGGTCACGAGCGAGGTGGCCCTCGTCTAGATCTGGTGAGGGCCTTTGCACCCTCACTTGCGGTTGGCGAGGGCTTGTTGGCCTTCACTGGTCAAAATGAAGGAAATAAAAGAAAGAAAAACTCATCAAAAAAGAAAAGAAAAAACAAAAAAATTATTAAAACTTTAAAAATTATTAAAAAATGTCTACGTCAGCGAAAACTGTGCCACGTAAGACGGCTGTCGTTTATATCAATGATTTCTTGCCTAAACTGACATGATGGATTGAATTGGTACCGATGTGAAGTAGTCCTAAACCTTTTGATGATTTTCCAACATAATCCTCCAAATCAATTTTGGCCAGAAATCACTGACTGAACGTGGATGTGACTGTAGCCATTTTACATGGCACGGCTGACTAACGAGAATAATTTTCGCGTTTTTTTATTTTCTAATTTTTTAAAAATTTCTTTAAGTCTTTTCTGTTTTCTTTCCCACTTTTCATCTTCCAAGAATAGCTGGCGGGGGTTGCCGGCCATGGGTGAGAGGCCTGCACGCCCTTGCCGGCCCATAGTGGAAAAGAAAGAGGAAAAAAAAAAGAAAAGAGTAAAAGATTCATTAAAAATTCAGAAAACTTATAAAAATTTCAAAAATTGTCCATGTCAGTATCACCCGTGCCACGTAGTACGGCTTGTCACGTAGGACGGCTGATGTCTACGTCAGCAATTTCCAACAAAAATTGATCGAAATGACTATATTGGAAAATCGTCAAAATGTTTATGACTAAATCGACCAAATTAAAAAGTTTAGGATTGAATTAACCGTTGTACTATAGGGTTAAACTTCTTGGATAATTTTTCCGAGAATTTGACTTTTGGACAAGGGTATTCTTGGAAGTGAAATCGCAGTTTTGTAGATCATGTGACCTTTAGTCATTGGTGTATGGTATGTCTAGTGAAAACTCGATGTGCAAATATTTTTCATAAAACAGACGGGGTGTATTTTTCCAAGAAGAAAATGAATTCTCACCTGGCTCGCCCCTCTCAAGGGGTTTGCTCATTTGCCTCCTCTAGTAGATTTGTTGATTTCAAATTTTGAATAGATAATAACTCGCGTTCTCTTCTATTTCCACCATCTGCACGATTTTTGAAGATACCTAGGACACGAGACTGAATTCAATGTCCTTGACGTCGATTCAGCCATAAGAAATTTTTTCATGTTTGAATTGGACTCCACAAGTTCACTTGAAATTTATAATTGTCGATCTTGAGTACGTGTCAAGTTTGCTCATCTTGTATCCCGCCTTAACTTGATTGAGCTTTGGTCCTGGTTTTTTCCTTTTTCTACATTATTTCTTTTCAGATTTTTGCACATTTTCAGCAAAATATGTTGTGAGGAATATAAGAGAATCATGTTGGAGTTATTTTCTTCAATTATTTTTCTGGGATTAAGTGTAGTTTTAGTCCTCTAAGTTTCAAAATTTGCGTGATTTGGTACTTTAATTTTTACATTATGCAATCGAGTCCTTCGTCTTTTTGTTGATTAGTGTGATTTGATCCTCTAACTTTTATTTTGCCCAAGCAAGTACTCTAAGTTTCTTGATTTGTAGAGTCAATTGCTTCATCTACGTGTTATAACTAACATCGTCAAATTAGGGTTTCTTTTTTTCCCTACTTTGTTTTCGCTAATTCTGGCACAACATTATCATTATGTGCCTTGCTCTGCTGCGTTGAATACCGCATCACTAAATTAAATCTGATGGTTTAGTGAGAGTGGTTGACGGAAGAATTTAATTGCACGAATTGAAAAAGTTAGAGGACTTAATTGCACAAAATAAAACTTAGAGGAGTAAACTTCACTCATCGAGAAAGAAGATTCGCTTGTATGAAATAAAAGTTAGAGAACTAATCCGCATAAATGCTAAAACTTGGAAGACTAGAACTGTACTTAACCTTTTTTTTTTCATTGAAGAGGGGGCAAGACGCCCAAACAAAAATCAAGGCTTCGTTTATTTCACGGAAAATAAATGTTCAAGAAAATATTTTGCTAAAAACAATCGGTCGTATCGCTTGAAATAACTAATAAATGAAAAATGTTTTCATTGTCAACTACAATTTATATCTAAATATTTTTTTAGCTGATGGAAGTTTTTTCGATTTGGTAAAGAAAAAGAAGCATTCAACTTGAAGTGCAATTTTAAAATAATATTTAGCGAAATAAGATTCAAATCTTAAAATGTTATGCGGTCCTATATAAGAATTATCAGAACTTTGTAATCTCGTTTTTATGTCTTTACTTCTTTTCCTTGTTTGAACTCCAGTCTCTTGTCACATACCAGAGAAAAAAACAACACTGGTCTTCTTCCCAAAAGCAACACCAAACGACCCAGCCATATACAGTTGATTCGCTGCCCGACCATCGCCCCCACAAGCCCCCGCCATCGCGCCTCCATCGACCGAAGTCACGGCCCCCTTGCCTGCTCAAGTCAGCGACCTCCATCCGCCGTGAGTCGTCACCGTCCCCGTCAAGTTCAATTGGTTCTACACGATTCACTTCAAGTTTGCAAGGGTTTTGTGATAAAAGCTTGAAACCCGGGACTTCAAGCAATCGACCTGAAGGCTGATGAAGCAAGTGGAGCCATGACAAACGGGTCAAATTACAACACGCATCCAAAATCGGGTCTCAAAAGCACATCTATGGACTGACAAGCACAATATCGTATTCACTATTCATGTCACAACATTGGATGGCCGTGTTGTCTCGGTCGGGCTTATTAAGTAGATGACGGGGATGGGCCCGTTTTATGTGGCCCGACAATTGGACCCCTCACTAAAATTTTTCAAGCATGCGGTCCTTCCCTGACCCTTAATGTGCAAAAGACAGGACATGGTTCATTTAACACATGAAAATTTGACTTTTTTCAAATCGTATTGCCATGAGGAGGAGCGGACTTTTGCTACCTATTTTGCCTCAAAATCTCTTAAAACTAGGTTGGGCTCATAATCAACTAATCAAGTTTCATCATCTGGTCCGGTCCCAGAAACTGTGAACCTATCTTTCTGGTCCAGTTTCCGATTACTAGGTGGGACCGGATCGGACCAGACCGTGAACCGATCACGCCTAGGTGGTAGGGATGTATTATATTTGTCTTGGTCAAAATTCAAAGTGATTCGAAGAGTTTGTAAATTACACTACTAACTTTATAGATAATCAATTTTAAGGTGAACGTGGACGTGTAAGTGTGACTTGGGGTGGGCTAGATATTGGGTTTTGAATTTGGGCCGTCTATAATAGGCTTTACCCAAACCCACCCATAATCTTTAAATGTTCCCCGGAGGGAACAGTTAAAAAGACAAGAAAGACTTGTCTTCTAAAGCATGTGCACATGGTGCCCGTGTGATTGTGGGGTTTGATCAAGAGAAACAAAGATTCTCCAGAGTAAATTGCAAGCATTTGAAAGATTAGAGGGCATATTGGCTGTGGAAGCACAAGTGTTCTTTCTGAGTACGTGATTACTGTTACA